AGAATTTAAATAAAAAACACTTAATTGGTTTAAAATCATTCCCATAAGAATTTATATATAAAACTCTTAATTGGTTTAAAATCATTCCCAAATACAGTATTTTGAGGGGTCCTTCCAGCAAATCTCTGAGTTGTAGGGTGGAAGGGTTGTGGTTATTCCCATTTCATAGAAACAGGCTTAAGAGAGTTGAGTGATTCACTCAAGACATTGTAGCTAATAAATTATATGGCAGGGATTTGAACCCAGGTCTACTTGACCTCAAATCCTGGGTTTGTCCCACTCGGTTACAGCTGCTTCTCAGGGTTCAAAAGCACAGGCACCTCTGATGCCAACTCTTCATGACTACCTTGAGTCTCTATAACTCTGTTCTGTCTCCACTGGGGGCTCTCCATAGTCTATTTACCTGCATTTCTCCCAATCGCAGTCAGCCTGGCCCCCATTCCCCTGACAAACTCCACCATTCCTGCTCACATGTCTCTGTTCGTGCTGCTGTCCACCCTGCAGAACCCAGCTCCCACTCATGCCTGATAGGGCATGTGCAGCCTTCAAGTGCAGCTCAGATTCCAGCAACTCCTTCCTACAAAGACTTTGACAACATTCTGCCACCTCCCTCTCCAACGCTGGAGAATCTGCTCATAATGGAGACTCTAATTTTGCTCAAGAAGCTCTGAAAGGCTTCTTAAGTTAATTATTTTCCAACTAGATGAGGAAATTTCCTCATGCAAAGGGCAATGGTTTATGCTTTAGTATAAGAAGGTCTTCCAGTGGTGTGTGTGATCTGCCTATACCAACTTGCCAGAGCCAGTGGTTAAACTTTGAGAATTGTGCAAGCAGTTGACTTCACATTGGTAGTTTAAAATTGGTTAAGTATTTATACCCCAGAATTTGGTGAATCAGGACCCCTTCCCCTCCTATCTGGAGAGCTGGTTGTTGTTATACATTAACCAGCACATAACTGGACTAGGTGGAACATTTTAATTAAAATAATAATAGTAATTACTGTGTGGTCCCTTTACTTATAATTACTAGAGAGAATGGAAGTAACTCTTACCCTTTTCTTTCTCTGAGAGAAATTTTTCTTCCTTTGCATTTATATTCCCCTGTTGCTGTAAACTGCAGGAGTTTTGGTAGCATAGTGCCTAAGACACTTGACTGCTAACCAGAAGGCTGGTGGTTCAAACCCACCAGCCACTCCTCGAAAGGAAGATGGGGCAATCTACTTCCATAGTGATACCACCTCGGAAACCCAAGGAGGGGTCGCTATGAGTTGGGGCTGACTCAATGGCACATAACAACAACAGCTGTAAACTGCACTTGTGGAGGTGTGTGCACCTGCACTTGTGGAGGTTTGTGTATGCACATGTGTGTGCACTCTTGTTTAAGACTCATGGACAGAAGCACCATAGCCACCACTCAGAGTAGAAAAAGGTGAGCTATGTTGAGCTCCTCTCAGGCTGCTTAAAGGGAATGGAGGACCCAGGGGATGCTCCAGCTGGACTGGGCTGCTGGTACTCCTTGTGAGGGCTGTGTAAGATTGAAAAGCTAGACTTTGAAAAATGGGTCATTGTAGAACTATAGCATTTCTGTGAGATCTTCCTGTTGGGGGCAGAGAGTAAAGCCTCATTTTGTGGGTGGATTTGAATGGAGGAAGTATATTTCCCCAGACATCATCCTGGAGAAGAGCAGGTCCTGGAGAGATCAGTGGGAGGTGAGCTACAGGAGATGGAGTGCACTGAGACTTTGCCTTAGGGCTTACCTAGGTAGAAGATGCCAGAGAAGGGAAAGAGCCTGAGAGAGGCCATCTTGCAGGTTTGGGCTCAGAGCCATGTGATTTGGAAAATTTATGTAAATGAGATCTCTTTTGTCCCTCACTCAGACATACATACATCATATATATTCTGCAAAAACAGTTCCATTCCTTTGCTTTCTTCAGAGCACCCTGAAGGATGCTGAATGTGATCTTGATACCTCCTCCTGACGCTGGTACCAGGGGTAGGATGAGCAGAAGGTCAGCGTCTCAGCTCAGAGAACTGACTGCCCACCACTAGGCAGGTTTTGAATGTCTGTGGTCCTTGGGGAGGGCATCTGGTCAGAAATTAGTCACAAAACTGCTCTGCACAGAGCAGGCTTCTTCCTTGCTATCACCACCCTGACACTTGATCCCACTTTAAATACATTGATCAGTTGTATTGTCAGAACAAGACTGAGAAAAAATTTGTTGTTGTTAGGTACCATTAAGTCAGTTCTGACTCATATCGACTCTATGTACAACAAAAGAAACATTGCTTGGTCCTGTGCCAACTTCAAAATCTTTGCTATGTTTGAGTCCATTGTTGCAGCCACTGTGCCAATCCATCTCATTGAGGGTCTTCCTCTTTTTCACTGACGCTTTACTTTACCTAGCATGATGATATTCTTCTGTGGGAACTGATCCCTCCTCATAATATGTCCAAAATATGTGAGATGAAGTCTCTCCATCCTAGCTTCTAAAAGCATTCTGGCTATACTGCCACTAAGACAGATTTATTTATCTGGTAGTCCATGATATATTCAATATTCTTTGCCAACACCATAATTCAAAGGCATCAATTCTTCTTCAATCTTCTTGCATTGTCCAGCTTTTGCATGCATATGAAAGGATTGAAAATACCATAGCCTGGGTAAGGTACACCTTAGTCCTTACAGTGGAATCTTTGCTTTTTAACCCTTTAAAGAAGTCTTTTGCAGCAGATTTGCCCAGTGCAATACATCACTTGCTTTCTTGATTGCTGCTTCTATGAGCGTTGATTGTGGATCCAAGTAAAATGAAATCCTTAACAATTTCAATCTTTTCTCCATTTATCATGATTTTGCTTATTGATCCAGTTGTGAGGATTTTTCTTTATGTTGAGGTGTAATCCATCCTGAAGGCTATAGTCTTTAACCATCACAAGTAAATACTTCACATCTTCTTCACTTCGAGCAAAGAAGGTTGTGCCATCTGCCCATCCCAGGTTATTAATGAGTCTTCCTCCAATTCCCATGTCTGACTGAGGAGGGTCCTGTTAGAACGAGGTCTGTAGTTCCCTCAAGTTCTTTCTACTCATACTTCTTTTCCTCTCTTTGTGTTTTAAATCCTATGTTCTGAAAACAGACTCCTGTTTGTGAAAAAGAAACGTGATGGTATCCAAAATTCCTATTTTCCTGTAAGACTTCTCTATCCATCTTCCCCATTGACAATGATCTTTCTTCCCAGAGAGTAGTTTCCCATTATATGAGTCATTGGTTCAAGAAACTACAATGACATTTAATTGCTCAAGTAGAAAATCTTGTTTTTGAAAACTTGCAGCTCTTCTCCTCTGCCCTGATATCCTTATCTCCATTCTTCCCAGCAAGTTCCTCCACTTCAATACTGGGCTACTGGTCCTGTCAATGTCTTTCTTATTTTCTTCCCAGGGATGTGTCTGTCCATCATAAAATCTTTCCCAGCTCTGATTGCTCCAAAGTCTACCTCCCCACTCATCCTTATTACTGTTGATGGTGTGGGTATAACTGGGTGACTGTGCACATGTGTATGTGTAAGGATGTGAGGGGACATGCATATATATGTGTAAGTATGTGGGAGCATGCATGTGTATGTAAGCACATATGAGGTGTGTATGCACGTGTATTTGTACAAATGTGTGTGTGTGTGTATATTTGAATATGTAGTTCCTTTTTGTGTGAAATTGATTTCAGGGTTAAAGCCAAATATTTTTATTCTGTAGCCTGACATTAAGAAATAGCATTTGCTCTCATATTTCTTTAATAGTCTGCTACTTATTCTTAGTAGTCCTGCTCCAATTGAAAGCTCAGTTAGCTCATAATCCCTCTGTGGCAAAGGAAGAGAAGTGTGGTCAATAGTATCTACAAGTAATTCTTAAACCTTATTTTACACATAATTCTTTCTTATTTCTTTTTCCCAATTTCAGAGAGGCTACTGACCTTAGTCACTTTGGAATGGACTGATTTTTATGCCTTCTCCCCTCTTACTGGCTGAGGTTCAACTGAACAATCCACTGACCAGTGTGCAGGTAATGAAAAGGAAAAAGATACCAGAAACCTGAATATTGAGAATGTTTATCTCAATCCAGTAGCTGAGTGTTGACTCTGGAGCCATGGTTCAAGGCACTGCTATGCAGTGGTTAGGAGTACAGGCTCTGGAGTTAGCTGGACTTGAGTTCAAGTCCCCACTCTGATACTCTTCAGTACTGTGGCTTTAGAAAAGCTATCCAACCTGTCTTCACCTTAAAATTGTGGATAACAGTAGTAGCTACTACATAAGGGGAATTGCTGTGAGAATAAAATAAAGATAACTAGATGAAGCACCTGGCATATAACAGTTTTGTAATCAAAGATATTATGTAAATACGCATTTCCAAGCATGTTGACTCTAATCTTAACTGTGGAGACATGAGGATTCTATGAAGGTAACTTTTGCCTCTCTTCATTTAGGCCTTGACTTAAACCACAGCATGTCATGCCTTCTGCCCTATTTCCTGGATCCCAAACCAATAGCTGATGATGTGGTCTCTCTTGTCACCCTCCTATCACTTTCCCTGTTTCCATTTGTCCCCACACCATTGTCATAGCTGTGACATTCCTTCCTCCAAACTTATGGGCCTTCCTTAGTCAAATCCTCATCATTTCCTTGTTCAACACATACATAGGGGGGAGAAAAGCTTTGCATGCTAGAGAACTTGGGCCTTCTTGTCATGACACTGAAAGAATACAGTTCTCCCCTCCCCAGTGAGGTGAACAGAGAACGCAGTCCACCTTCCCACAGAGTGCTGTGAAAGAGGATCCAGCCCATGCACAGCTGCTGGGTCATTCCATCAGGAGATGAGGATGGGGAGGGCAGATAAAACACAGGATGCTCAGTTAAATGTGTAAATTTTTGTTTGCTAAACTTGGCAACCCTCAACCAGGTGCCCCCTGCATGCACTCATATTATAGATATGAAGTAGTTTGTGGGTACTCACCTGTGGACCGCAGCACCACACACGCTGGAGTAGGATGCATACACATCAGTGCCATACACGTGATATTTAGTGTCTTGGCATCCCGCTGGACATTTCACCATGAACTCAGGATTGATGATCTTTCCAGCTTTGACATCACAGTTGATCTGAGGTACAGCTGGGAATACAAAAAGAAATTAGAATTACAACTCGTGGGATCAGCTTATATATGGGGTAACTCTGCTAGGTAATAACTGTTCATTTACTTAATCTCAAAAAGCCAGAGTCTGGGCTGACCTTGGGTCCCCTCCATATAATGAAAGAAAAGATGTAATTAGGACATTTCTCAAACCAAAAGACCAACAGTGGCCATCCATCATGTTTAATCTGCTGAGAGCAAAAGCAAGAGGCTGATTCTTGAGCTTATTTAGACACTCAATTAATTGAAGAAGAGAACTCTTGGAAAAGACTCACCTCTGGTGGCCAGAAATGTTATCTTGAGTCAATCACAGGAGAGTAATGGTTTTCAGATGCTCTGTAGCTAGCCCAGGAAAAGAGGAAACTCTCAGGCCACCTTATAGGAGGAATGACAGGTATTCCCAAAACAAAAACAAAAGCCATTGCTGTCAACTCAATTCCTACTCATTGTGACCCCATGTACTACAGAGTACAACTGCTCCTTGGGGTTTTCTTGCCTGTGTTCTTTACAGAAGCAGTTTGCCAGCCCTTTCCTCTGCAGTGGCACTGGGTGGGTTCAAAGCACTAACCTTCAGGTTAGTAGATGAGCACAAATCACTTGTACCACCTAGGAATCTTCAAAGGTTTCCAGGGAGGGCAAGTTCAAAGAACATGGGCCTTGGAGCCAGGAATGACCCTGACAAGGTTGGCCTGCTGCACTATGTGTAGACTATGTGTTGGAGGACAGTGGAATGATAGACCAGGTCAGGTTAAGGAGGCTTGAGTGCTTGTGTTCTGTGGAGGACAGTAGGTGCAACAGAAAGTTTTTGGACTGAGGAGATATGTAATACAAGTGATCTTTTGTCTTGACGCTGGAAGATCCTCTAGGTTTTGATATAGGGTCAAGGTGGGAGTCCGCCTCAACACTTGGTGAACAGCTGGGAGCTGCCTTGCTGAGCAACCAGGGGAAGCTCATCAGTTCTTTCCTCCCTCTTTTTTTTGTTTTTGGCTTTGTTACTGCTCTAGCCAGACTTGCACCATCCAGAAGCCAAGTCCTGTGGAGCTATAACTTTATCTGTCTTCCCTTGCTTAGGGAGAGGAGGGCCATGGTGGTTCAGTGGTAGAATTTTCTCCTTCCAAGCAGGAGACTTGGGTTCAATTCCCAGCTAATGCACTTCATGCGCAGCTACTCCCCATCTGTCACTGGAGGTCTGTATGTGGCTATGATGCTCAACCTGTTTCTACACATCATGAGGATGGCACAAGACTGTTTTGCATGAGGCCACCAAGAGTCAGCCAATACCAACAACATTAATACAATGAATATGGTTTTTATGACTGGGGAAAGGGTAGAGTAAATATATTAGTGACAGTATCTGAAAGAGGTATGTAAAAATGGCATGGTGGCATCAAAAACCCTCCATCAACTTCATAAGGGGCGGAGGAGAGAGAATTAAGATCAACATGAGCCCAAGGCTGATGATCCTTATGAGGTAGAGGTCAGACATACCTCCACCCTCCAACCTTTTTACCAATTCTGACGTCAGCTATCCTCTCACAGCACTTTTTCCTATAATAATTCATTGTAATGGCTACAGAGAACTCATAGACCATACTCAATGACTATGAGGTTTATTAGGGAAATAACAGGTAAGTAACTCAAGATCAGGATCAACAAGCTACAATTTAGGATCAGAATGATGTAGATCAAGTATCCCTTCCTAAGTGCAGGACTGCTTTCTCAGCTCCTCTTAGCCATGCAGGGCTCCTCTCAGGCCCCTGAAGAGAGGTTCCTCTTGGCCTCCTGAGGACAGGCTCCCTTGGTCCCCTGAGGACAAGTCTTCTTTCTTGGCCTTCAGCCTTAGGCCCTGCTTGGGCCATGCCTCTAGCCTGCTCAGGTAAGTGTTACAAAACTCTCTAGCTCTGCTGACAAGTACCTGGAGGCACTCTAGTCTTCCAGGAAGCCTCCCACCCAAAAGTTCTCAGCTCTCCCGTTCTGTGGGTTAACATGCCCACTGCCTTGCTCCATGGGCTAAGAAGCCCACCACTCCATTTCCCATCAGTATCCTGGTTCTGCTGCTGCCATTTCTTTGCTGCTGCTTCTTGCTGTCTCTGGTGTTATAGCTCTCTGTCTTCTGGGTCTAGGAGATTCTCAGCACAGAGACCCTGGTTTCAAAGGACATGCTCTACTCTCAGATCTTCTTTCTTGATGATAGAGAGCTCCCTGCCTTTCTGCCTCTGGAATGGTTTATTTTAAGCTTAGTGGGATGACAAAACTGACCATTTCCCTTGTTAGGGTTCCTTATACCTTGTTTGTATGGTCCAACCCCTGAAGTGTCCCCTGCACCTTATTTACATTATTAGCAAGCTGTCCAATCCCCTTGTTCAGTGACTAATACCTTATTTTCATAGTCCCACCCAATCATTTTGTAGGTGCCACAAGATCATGGTGAGAAAGGCCATATAAAAGTGAATTAATTGCACCATAGGGTGAGGCTGCATCTTCATTGCAAAGACTTTTCCCCTAGTTAACACCATCCTTCTGGGAATGTGTTCAGTTCTGGGCCCTGCTCTTCAGAAGGGATTCTGAAACATGAGATGGTAGGAAGAGAGTAGGCAGACTCAGGAGGGGTCTGGAAACTACTGAATGTGAGGGATGGTTAGCAGAAATGAGTCTTTTGGCCATGAGAAGACGAGAATTCATAGATAAATGATAGCTGTGTTTACAAACAGGAGTGCTGTGTGAAATGATACCAGACTGCTGAGCTAAAACTAAAGGATAGACTTAGTAGAGACGCAAATTTTGCCAAGAAGAACTTCTAGTAATTGAAGTTGCTGTTAAAAGAATGGGCTGCCTTGTGAAGCAGTGAATGGGCCTTAGGTGGAAGTACACAAGCAGAGACTGAACAGTTGAAGAAGGGATTTCTCTGTTGGGTGGGAGGTGAAAATGAAGCCCCTCCCAGTGTTAAGATTCTGTGACTACATACATGGACTCTGAATCTCTGCCAGGCCACCCACCCTCTAATTGGGTTACTAAGATAGCTTCAGAACTGTTAATGGCTTCCAGCTGTACTCAAAAAAACCTCTTGTAATTTTTATTTTTATTTTTTTTAAACCCTTAGGAACATGAGGAGCAGAGTTGTACTTCATTCAGGCTAGAGGGAGAACTGAAGTTGGAATTCCTGTTCTTTTCTTAAATGCCCTACCCAGACAATCTTTGCTTCTGAGGGCCAGGCCAGCATAGAACGCCTTCTCCTGGGTACCCAGGGGCTGAGTTTGATCACAGGCTTAAACAGTTTGTGGCCTGCATTAAGAAGTGAAGCACAGTGCTTGAAACAGTTTTGTGGTTTCATTCTTCCTATCAAGGATTGCCTCTTCAGCAAAGTGATTACCTTTCATCCTTTTAAACTCTGGTACTCAAAGCTACATGTACTATTTTGAGTGTCAGATTTTTTTTTTTTTTTTTTTTTAAAGGAAATTTTGGGGCTGAAAATGCCAGTGCCACCTCTCCTTAAATTGGTTTATTGTTTAATCTCTGGGTGGAACTGAGTGTGTTCAACTGTTTTCTGTTGCACAGATCACTTCTTCACTCCCAAATGCATGTACTGCCTTAGATACAAGGAAAATGAATACATTCCTTCTTGGTTCTTGGTTCTTTGAAATAAGAGGTGACAAGCTCTGTGAACTGGAATTAAATTTTGATATCACTTTGGCACCCTAAGATTTTTAATCTCCTGGCAGGCTAACCCAAATCTTCAGGAGATGAGAAAATAGGGTTGCATTTAGAAGCATACTGAATAGAAAATAAAGCTAGAGAGAATGAGATAATAAAGTTTCCAGGGTAATTGACAAAATCATTGGAAATCTAATGCCCATGTCTAGCCTACAAGAAGCATTTGCATCTTTCTGGCATCTCTTCTTTAAGTATACTGAAATCATGTTTATTTCTTTGCAATATTCTCTCAGTTATTTGAGAAGTCAGTTTTCTTGTAACTTTCAAAAGAATCTTCTATCAAACTAAATGATGTATCTTTACATTTCCTCTGAATTCTTTCTAACTACTAATGTTTAACACTTTAAACACTCCAAAATGTCAATAAAAATCAGTCATTCTAACCCATGTTTTTGGCAGAATAAGAAAATACTTTATCCATGTTCAATGGAAGGACAGAGGATTGGGTGACAGAGGGTAACTTAATTGTGGTAAACACAGCTTTTGTGTGGCTGCAAATTTTGTGTCTCTAAAAAAGAACCTATTTTTAGTTTACAAAAGGCCCTAATAAACAATCTTTCACTTGATGCTTACAAAGCCCTGAAAGAAATTATTGTCCCCACTTTCCAGAGAGTTAAGTGGATTTGCTTAAGCTCACGGTTCCTTTCCAACTCCATAGTAAGTCAGTTCTGATGTAAATTATATATCTCATTTTTTCTTTCAGTTTTCATTATTATTGCCTTCTATTATCAGAATCTTTATACATCTGATCTTTATTTATCTTTGGGAGTTGGAAACACTACATATAAATTTACAGATATATTTTAATACATACAGACATACATTAAAAAAATACATCAATCATAAATATTTACTTCAACAATGAAGAAGAGTTGGATGACATTGGCATTTTGTCAATTATGATAATAAGTCCACTTGAGGAAGGTTCTGGATCACCTGGATTATCCCTGGGAATGAGGATGGTGTTTCTAGTCAGAAAAATAGTGATATTTGTGTGTATGGTCCTTTCCTTTTTTTTCTTCATATATTCACAGTAATATCTCACTAATTCTTGAATCCATCTGCTGATTTTAACAAAGTGATGAGAATTTGGGTTCACATTTTTAAGCAATGTAATACCTTGATTTAGTTTAGAAAAAAACCAAAAAACAAAACTTCAGCTAATGTTTTCACTGTAAAATTTTTTTAAACTTTTCTCCTTCCTCTTCCTCATTGTTTTTTTATTTCCTCAGCATTTCTTTCCTCTTCAAAATCTATTAAGCCCTGATTTGTCAATTTCTCTTTTTCATGATCTTTGAGCTGTTCTGCCTTAGGATATAAGTTCTAAATTCAGTGTTCTTGCCATATGGACAATTTTTCCAACAATCTCTTCCATCATATTTTTCTGATCCAATGCTTGTAGTGTATCTACATGACTCAGTAATTTTTTGCATGTCCCTTATATGCCTTTTCCTGTGACTTTCTCCCAGA